TCGTCAGATTCTAGTCTTCCTCTCTCTCTCGGCCGCGGATCGATCAGGCACCAGGGGCGCGTTACGTACGTATAGCATCAACGCACGATGATGAGGAATCAATGCCATTGAAACCCCACACCAAGATGCCTGACGTCCTGATTCCAAAAGGCTTGCTTTACTGACTGTCGTATGCCTACGTTCTACATGGCAGGAGAGCCAGTCAGTCATCGTCACGGCACAAACAAAGGCTATCATGCTGCATATCAGACGACGCGCGGGATATAGCGCAGTCCGTTGGCAAAGTGGCTGAGAGAAAGACCAAATTGATGAAAGGGTCGCTGAGTAACTGAGATCTCTGCTTCGTCCGTCCTCACTCATATCCCGCGTCGTTCGTTCTGCATAATAGGCCTCATCTAGATTGCGCTAACTCGAAGTCTGTATAAAGTTCCAACTCAAGCGACCTATGGAGAGTGTCCATGCTGTCAAAAGTGTTGGATGGCCTATTTCCGCCATCTTTCGGGGTAGGCTCTTATGCAGGTCTATTATTATCAATCCCCAATTATCAATAATCAATATAGGGAGGAGCGTTCGATGATCCTTTGAGCAAGTTGGTCGACTCCAGGAAGCAGTTGGCTGCACATGCAATAGGGGGGCGGGAGGAGCGGGCATGGGGAGTCAGCTTACACGAGTTCGCGGAGTCAGGGACTGGAAGAGAAAGAAGTCCGGCATAGCGGCCCTCGAGGGCGGATTGAAGTGTTATGTCGGGGGGAAGTAGAGGAGAAGAGGGATATAAAAGGGAGGCTTCATCCTCTTCTTTCTTCCTCCTCCTCATCATCATCACAACTCTCAAGTTCAATCAACTCCAATCTTCTCTTTCCAACATCAACTTCGCAGCTCAGCTTGCAATCCACCAAAACCAATCGCAAAAATGCAGTTCAAAGCCTCCTTCGTTGCTGCCTTCCTCCTTGCCGCGACTCCCGCCTTCGGTTTCTCGGTCCCCGAAGGTACGAAAGACGGTATCTACATTGTCGGGCGTGATGCTGCCGGACAGGAGGTCCACACTAGGGCCGCCGATGTTTCCCCCGATGGACTCGCTTCGCGATCCATTCGCGGCGCCCCTCGCATGAAGCGCGACGGTTTGGACGAGATCGGATGCTTCGATCAACCGGTCATGGTCGCCAATGATGTTGGGAGTGCAGTTAACGCCCTTCGGGACCAAATTGGCCCTGACGGCTACAATCTTGGTAGCCACCTGGGCCTTTACTCCATTGTCGGCGAGACTGTGGCCTACTGCTGCAACAACCGCTCCCAGGGAAACACTTGCTTCCTTTCCTCCCAGGCGGAGTCCAACGCACTCATCACTGCGAGGTGCGGATCGAGCCAACCCGGCTATGCCTATGATTCTGGCGCTCACCTTACCTACGGATACCAGCACAAGACCTACAGCTGGTGCCCTGAGAGCTAGAGAGAGGACGAGTTTGAGGGGAAGGATTGAGTCGTGATTAGAAGACCTCGTTGTCCGCCGTTACACGAAGATCAATCCCCTACAACTCGCGAGGAGGTTGCAGGGAAACAAGGGTGGTTCAAATGTTCGATATTCCGGGGATAGTCAGGGAATCGTTGGGGATGCGTTCGAATCTGCTTGCCGTGCGTGAAGGCCAAGGACGTGTCAGAACTAGTATATCTTTCGGTGGCTGATTTTCTTTCTGGATACTCCGATGTCTCTTGTTTTCTTCTCTTTTCGCTTGTCTCTTTATATCTTGTCTGTGCTTATTGGTGTCGTCTCCTATACAATTAGAAGAAATGTGATAGTATACACTCCGAATTTTCTCTCTCTTTGAGTATTTTAAGTGCGTAGCTTCTAACGTTTGAAAGGCCATATCTTTGTGCACATATCATAGTCCCTCGGTATTTATCTATATACTCCGACGGGCATCTGACTCGTCTTTGACCTAATCCCCCTGCCTTTTAGTTCGTCCTCGGTATGTTTAGTACTTAACTCTGTCCTATCGTTGCATATCTGCTTGTTGGTGAGACATTAATCCAGCAGGGAAGGCTGAACCCTGCGAATACAGTAGAATGAACCAACATTTTGACTTCTTCAAAAGATGGCCGAATGAGAATAGCCCTCTTTGACATGTGTTGGAATCGATGATTTTACACAGGAGCTACCCTGGGCTGAGAAGTGGTGATTTTTTTCGTGCCATAGTGATGTAAATTCCGTCTCTCGCACTGACTTCCCCCCCTAAGCGCTTGTCCACCGCAGCCTGCTTCTACCTCCTTAGTTCTGGCGAGATTACCTCCTTAATCCCTTGGGCTTTAGCTGGGATGAAGACATCCCAATTCTTGTGCTGGCTCGCGTAGAACAGGTCCATAATAAGCACTATATGGAGCGATTACAAGCCCCTGAAAAGGACAGTTAAGGTATCTCAGTTGAGGCGAAATTGAGGCACGTCCGCTGTGATCTCTTCTCGCTCAAAATTATCGAAGACACAACGGTATTGGTGAAGATGGCAAAATTCTTATCCAGCTATTGAATATCAATATCCATGGTTCCCCAAATATCACAAATTTTCGCGGTTTGTGTGTAAATAGAAATGAAATTGCCAACTCTTCGAAAGAGATTGTCTCTAACCCTCTCCAGAATAAGACCAGAAGCGCGCGACCCCGTCGAATCCCCTGAGGAGTCTTCCCATTGCACCAATAAGGCATAGCATGACCGTGGCGTTAGGCGATCAAAGTCCATAACACAACCACCGCCGGCCCCTAGGCCGATATCTTTTACTTCATCGACAAGACGTCCAACATTGCTAGGATAATAACGATGATTTGGATCCTTTGGCGGGCGGTATTCCATGGGGCCAACATAGCCTCTAATAGAAACCACGGCGTCTTTCATCCCTGTGGCCATGGGATTTCCCAAACTCCCATTAGGGAGCTTCAATCCTAGGATCTCGCAAGTGTATCGTGGTTTTTCGGAATATCCCCAACTCGCGGCCCATCTCGTGGGCCCAAGAACAGAAGCCCAGCTCCAACTTGGTGCTTGGGCTGGCTGACCGCGCCGTTGAAGCTCAACACATTGTAGGAATCCCGGAGCCTTGCGTCCCGGTTCCACCACAATCTCAGGGCCCCAGAGAAGACCCAGGGCTAGGTCCTCTAGCCATAAACCAGCGACGTATGTGCACTTCGTAGGATGGACAGCAGCCTGGAAGACCTGGGCTACGCCAGCAACAGCGGGAAAGATGTCGTTATCAAAGGACAGGTGTCGGGACGAATAGTCCCCCATGGCCCGGTACCATCTTTGCCATGGATCATCGTCGAGAGGCTTTATGAATTTTCTGCGTCCCTCTACGAAGGCACCTTCACGTGTCTGATCCCAATGTAGTGGAGTCGAGTTCAGCCACAGCTCATCCTCTTGCGCAGTGGCTATCCGACACTCCCAGTAGAGCTGCTGCTTGCTAACATGCAGAATTCTGGGGGCTAGGAGTCGCTCCTGCAGACACCAACCGCGCGTCCCAATATAACTCGTCGCTGCTAAGTCCCGGAATTCAGGTGGCGTCTTTTGTACCATGAGTCCTGCATCAATTAGGGCGCCGGAATTCCGACAACTTGACAGAATTCCTTCATCGCTAGAGCAGGCATCTGCGGCAGAGATTGTCAAAGTTGATGATGCGTAAACTGAACCCATTTGTGCAGCTTCGAGGGTCCAGTCAGACAAAGAGTCTTGAATTATGCAAAGAGCATCTATCCAGAGGTAGCGAATGCCTAACGCACGAGTAATATACACAGCGTGCTGGAAGTTGAGCGGAAGACTGTTTATGGGGATGCCCCGCTTCATCGTCTCAAGAGTAGCCTGAAGCAGTCGACAAGAGATTAAGCCACCCCAGCAATGACTGAGTGCAACGTACGGTGCAGATAGCGTTGGTTCGGAGATTAGAAGCTTGGGAGAATCATTCTCTGTCTCTCCAACATCAACAAGTCTCGTTGGCATGGTCTTGCCCGACGCGCCCACCACTTTGCGGCATTCCGGATGATCATCTGAGCACAGTTGCAACCACTTCTTGGCCGTATCCCACACATCGGCGTCGAAACCACTCTCCGGCCTTACTCTTGGAAGGTTTTTCTGTGCCATTGTTTGTCCATTGTCCTGCCACGCTTGGTGAGCCTGAAATTGGAAGACATGGGGATACGGTCGAAATCTTTGTTGGAACATCTCATCATCGCTGAAGATCGGTGCGAAGGTTCCAAACCCAGGCAGCCTACGGAAACTATTATAGCTGTCGTATGGGAAGAGGCTGAGGTAACCCGATGTCGTTTTTACATCAGAGGCGTCGAAGTCGTTGGCGAGAAGCGCACAGAGAGTGCATTGTGTCCCCGAGGCCTGTAGCAAGACTAGAGAATCGTAATGCCTGAAAGCTGTTGTTTTGAAGACGCCCTTTTTGACTGGTGACCAGTTGGAATCATTCGCTATCCTAGTTATATCGAAACAGACTGCACGAAGATCGGTTGTGAACTTGCGGCAGAGATCGCACAAAGGCCCCGGCGGTTGACTACTCATTTTGGCGGCAGTCTGGCGGGGAGTTTGGCATGTAAGCGGGGGACGTCAGCAGATATATATGCTATAAATTTCAGCAAAAGGCCCCCACGACTCGGGAGCAGCGGCAGACCCAGACGCCAGTGCCAAAACAGGCAAAATCGAAGTGAACGTCAACAGCATCCTGATCCTTTCAACTGGTCTGTAGGCATATTTACCCTGATGCCAGAAATACTCCTTGATAGGTATCTTTTAGCTCTAGATAGAAATCTTGAATCTGAGTCTGGGACCGTCCACGTTGGAAAGTCCCATAGGTGTTTGTTTAAGCCCACCGTATGGACTTGTTGACTTGACTTGTATTCCTGTTACTCGGCTTTGGGTGCAGTATAGGCTCAGCCATCCCCGATGAACGAGGTTTGGGCGACAGCCGACACGCCTCGATGTCGATTCGAATATCTACAGAATCAAAAAAAAAAAAATAATGTGACAAGGGTGGGATTCGAACCCACGCCCAGTTTCCCAGACTAGGAGATTTAGTAATTTGATTACGTAACCTTAACCTAGCGCCTTAGACCGCTCGGCCACCTTGCCAGTTGTTGTTGAATAGTTTTAACCTGAAAAAACTTGAACCATATGGCAAGAATAATAGACTTGGAAATTCTTAAATCAAGACTCAGGGGTGGACCCCCCCCGTACCTCTTTCGTGCCTTATTCCAACTTTTTGCTTTCTCTCCCATTCGTTTAAGAAGGTATTGAGATATTTTCATATTCTTACCCTCTATAGCCGGTTCAAAGACCTGCGCAGCCCCCATAAACTAAAAGCGGAATTCCCTTCTAAGCACATCGTGCGACCCGAGGCGGTGGAGGCGATGCTCACCTCCTCAGAGCAGATGGACGGCTGGCACGTAGATAGTTGCTCGATTGTTATATCCACTATCCCTCATTCATTTCTCCATCGAAACGCATAGATTTCCACCTTTTCAACCCCATCCTCTGCCGTAACTACCAAGCTAGGAAGCAGGACACACCCCTGATCATAGATCCAGAAACCCGCGTTCTCCATCAACTCAAAGAACACCTCCTCGCTCGCATGCCTTCTCTTCATCGCCACCAGGACCATCGCGCCAGGGGAAGACGTACTTGTCAACTTACTCAGGACCCGAACCAATGCAGGTAAACTATCAGAGTTGTAAGTACAGTCCGACACTATGATCATATCGTATGTAGATCCATAGATATCTTCCCCGGCATCTTCGTCATCCCAGTCCAGGGCTCTAAATTCAAGCCGTGACCCTTCTGCTAGTTGGGAGTTGGAGATGTTTCGAGAAGCCAGTTCCTCTGCGGCTGGTAGGTCCGTGAGAAGTGCTTTGCAGTTCCGTAGCATCTGGGCTAGACCGATACCCACGACACCACATCCTGTTCCGAGTTCAATCGCACTTAGTGGCCCGGATTCTCCACTGGGAGCATTATTCCGCTGGAAAATCTCCCGTAGAGAAACCATAGAGGAGTCCCGACCCTCTAGAGCATGCTGGAAACATATCGTGCACGCCAATGCCGCGTCCCTGACAATCAATCAATATTACCATAAAGAAATGAAATAGATATAGCGCGGATACTAACCAAACATGCAAAGCAATGCTATTCCCCATCTCCTCCCAAACATATATATTGGCTTGCTTCCCCTCCCTATCCCTCACACTCACCCACCTCTCAACAACCTTCTCCGCCTCCCCTCCAGCCCCAAACGGCGCACTCCACCCTGCCACCACTCTCTCAACCACATCCTCCCTCCTCGCACTCCCACTCTCACTAACCGCTAACCTCCCTCCCCCCGCACTCTCAAATCTAGCACTTACCTCCCTAGCCAGGGGGATGGAGATGCTCAGCTCCCGGCTCCCAGCTTTCCAGGGGAAGAGCTTTCGGGTGCAGATGTCGTAGGTGTGGGTTTCGTCATCTCCGCAGAGGAGGTGGGCAGTAAGGGTGGTGTCTGTGTGGAGGAAGGAGTCGCCTAGGTCGGTGGTAATGGTGACCAGGGCGGATATAGTTGGGGAGTGGGTGTTGGAGTTGTGCTTGGGGGGTTTGAGGAAGCGAATGTAGTGGACCATCGTTAGGATGTGTGCAATGGGGCGAGGAGATGAGACAAATGTTCAAATTTTGTGACTGTGATACCTCCAAGTTTCAATTTGTGGGGATATTTTCCTGGGCTTGCTTTTTGGAGGATATTCCACGCGCTATCTTCCTCATAGTAAGATGGCACTGTTACTATGGACCATATCAACAGCCAGAATACGATTTCACTCCACGGCACTTAGGGGTGGGATGTACCGCCCTCTGATCCTTGGACAGATGAAGACAAGACACGAAAGGTTTGAGACTGGAATGAAATCAAACAGCAAGAAAGGGTGCGATTGTCTTTAGACTAGAGACCCTTTTGATTCTTGCTTTATATCTCCACGTAATAAATGTGTAATATGAAGAAACAATAACGACAAGGGAGAGATCGAGGAGTGAAAGACGAAGAAGGGACAAAAAAGGAGATCGAGACCATAAATTGCACATCTGACATAATCAGCTATTGAGACTAATTAATGCTCCACTTTATGCTTCATTGAAGCGATCATCAATGACATCGACGTCAACACCAACAATCAAAGTAAAGAGAACACAGTCTATCATCATCAACCATCATCCGCATCTTTCTTTCTTCTTACATGCCAAACTCTCTCACTAACACGTACCCCCTCTCTCCCATCATCATCCTCCTTCCAATGCACCTCTCTTCCACCTCTCCCCTCTCCATCCCACCCCCAAGTGGTCTACATCACTCATGCTAAACCCCGTCGCAAAACACCACAGCCTCACTTGTTCACCTCACAACAACAACAACGACAACACACAACAATGATCCGTCGCAACGACCCCCGAATCCGCCAAACCCTTAACCAAATTTCTCAGAACCTCGAATCCGCAAACGAATCCGCCCAAGAAGGCTTCTACAACTTCTCCAACCAATACCTCTCCCCTTGCTTCTCGGGCGTTAAGGAATGTGTAGGCGCATGCACAGCTCCCTGCTGTGGCGCTAGCGATGGTACCGGTCGCGCGAGATGGGAGGGTCGGGCGGAGAGGAATTTTGATTTTTACGATGATTGGGATTTTGATGAAGGAGGAATGAGGGGTGGGGTTGGTGCTGGTGGTGGTTCGGCCTTTTTTGGTTGGGGAAGTGGTGAGTTGGATCGGTTACTTGCTGGGAGTGGGAGCGCGAGGAGTCGGAGGCGGAATACGGGCGCAAATGCTGGTGGTGTTGATGTCAGTCATCAACCGCGCAGGCAGCGGGCGATGAGCTATGGCACACGAGCCAGTGGTGCGAGAAGGAAGAGTAGCGTATTACCGAATGATGAGAGACAGGATCCGACGGTTATTCCGAGCTCGTCATTTTTGGGGTTCTTGGAACGGTTTCCGTGGAGAATTGGGGCAAGGGGTGTGAGGTATCGACCGTCAGCCGCGGATTTACAGGAAAACCCAGGAGGCATTCGGAGGGATGATCATGCGGCGGAACATGAGCCATTGATAGAGGCAAGCGACGAAGAAGCCGACGAGTCGCGGGTGAAACACGGCCGAGTAAGAAGCGGGACACAATCGTCACGGGAAACGAGCAATTCTCTAAGCTCTCGGGGTGATCTAATACCTAGCGACGAGGAAGAAGATGCTGTCCCGCTCGATGATGAGTTTGCCATGGTATTAGGAAGGCGAAGTACTGGCGCTACCTCTGGGGATGCGCCGAGAGATAAGTTCGAATTTGGCGGAAGGTCAACGTCGGGCACATCCACGAGAGCCACCGTATCATCCAAAGACTCGAGAAGTACTGGAAAAGGAAAAGGAAAACGGAAAAAGAAGCACCGGAACTCCGCCTCTAAATCCCTTCGCTCTGTTTCGTCTGATCCTGAAGTTATCGAAACCACTGAGATATCATCACTCGTCGATTTAAAGAATGCGGAAGAACAGGCACGGCTTGAAGAGGAGGCTGAGATTGAGCGGAAACGAGTCGCAGCCCAAAAACTTGCCGCCAGCCGAGGGTTGAATAAGAGCAATGGCGATGTATGTTCCTCACGAAGACCCACTCCAGACTTTATACTAACCCAATATCAACTGCAGACTCCTCTATCACACCCACCACCCTCTGCTACAGGAACTTGCCCCTTCCCCGACCTAGACGAATCTCATGAAACACCCGACAACATTCCATCTCCAGACGAGCTAGAACCAGATCCCACTCCCGACCATACCTCAAATACTGATGACATAAATCTAGCTCCCGAAGCACCTCCGCCTTTACAATCCCAGAATCCACCTATATATCTATTACACCCACCCGCACACCAACAAGATCGCCCACTCCCTTAACATCTTCCTCTGAACTGACGTCATTTTACTTTAAATACCCCCTTTGCGACTCGGCGTATCAGGGTCTTCTATTCTGGTAATCCCTATGCCGAATTTCCGTGTTAACTTGGAGAACGGGTGCAGTCTTTGAGGACAGCTACGTAGCTTCTCCAACGTGTTCGAGCGTCCCACCCTTACAACGCTCCTGTCAAACAGGACCCCCAACGAGTCATGTACTATTATATCCATCTGTTCCCATGTTTGTGATCTAGCGTTTGTGTTTTGCATATTTTACGTCGAAGATACCTCTTTCTATTTATTAGGAGTCCATTTCCATATCAAAGGGTCTATTTGTTTTCTTTCGAACAATATCCGTAACTCCTTCACTGAACAATAGCCAATTGACCTGATTACCTTCCGAAACTCAATAAACTTCCTTCACTTCTTCACATAAGAAGTAAAAACATGTCCATCCGTTACCTAACTTTCCACCTCTTTATCATCTTCAACCCCACTCTCCTTTTCCTGGACCTTCATCTTCATCTTCATCTTTTCCCGATAACTCGAAAGCACAAAATTCAACGAAACCAGCCACCCAACTGCAGCTAGCCCAATCCCCACGTAATACGCAGCATGATACCCCTTCAGGATATCCAATCCGCCACTATTAACCCGTGACTCCGCCGTACCGGCTATACCCAGACCGATGGAGATGGAGTAGTTTACCACTGTGTTCATTAGAGATGCAGCAACGCCTTGGTGTTCGCGAGGGGTGGCGCTGGACATTATTATCACACCGGCGGGGTAGGAGAGGTCCTATATATGCTACTGTTAGACCGAGTTAAGTTGAGGAGAGGGGGAAGGGAGGGAATCCACTTACCATCCCCCACGGCATAATAATAACCGACAAAAACGTCTGAATCCAATACGTCTGACCAACCGGCGCCGTTGCAACCAAAATCGACCCAACCAGAAAAGCCAGCAGAGCAATAAACATCACGTATTCCGGTCCCAACCTAGGTAGTAAGATCGAGTTCGAAAACGCCGCGAACAGCCCCGATATCCCGCATGGCGCAAGCTGCGCTACGGTGGATAGTATGGAGTGGCCTCTCAGTACAATTAAGAATCGGCAGATATAGTATATAAAGATTCCGAAACAGGACCACCCCCCTGCGATGCAGGCTAGGACGTAGAGTGTTTCTTTGGAGAGG